CTACCACCCGCCATCCGCCACCGTCACCCACCCATCCACCACCACCACCCGTCATCTGCCACCCACCTGCCACAACCACCACGACCACCCACCACCTACCACCACCACCACCACCACCCACTCGTTACCAGCTACCACCTGTCACCGTCACCCACCCACCCACCACTACTACTACCACCACCACCACTACCACCACCACCCACCACCACCCGCCATCCGCCGCCACCACCACCCACTCGCTACCACCCCCCACTCGCCACCGTCACCCACCCACCACCACCATCCGCTACCCACCACCCACCGTCACCACTTTCCACCACCGTCTTCCGCTGCTACTTGCTACCACTTGTCATTTCTCATTCTTTTTTATATTTTTAAAATTTTTTAAATATTTTGTCAATTACCAAACGCGTTTGTAGTTTATGTTCTTCTAAAAATAAACAAAAACCAATTTATAAAATTTTTGTAAATATAAACTGAAAACGTAAACGTTACCAAACAGACCCTAAGCAATCCCAAGTGCTCTACTTTCTCAAGTTCCTTTCACTCTTCCAAATAATTTTAGCGTGGTATAGCTTTTCACCTTTGTCTAGAAAGTGAATGAAAAAAAAAATGCCACAACCCTAACTGAAAAAATATTAAAAGCAAAACAAAACAAAGACACAGTAAACTTATAATGGGAAACGATTAATGAAGACTTTCTTTTTTATTATAATGACAAATCATACATCTTATGTGACCTGAATGTCAATAGCCATTTGGCCACAAACATTAGACTACCAACCTCATTATTGATCCTTTTTTGTACCTATATATATGTAAAAACCTTTATATAAAAAACCCACATACACCCAAAACTAATTGAACATTTTTTAAACAAGGGAATCAAAATTGGACATGACAAAGCACTAGTCTCACATGACTCTGCATCCTGACGTGTTTTCTTCGCTAAAGTAATCACACCGACTAGTGTAACAATCCCTATCCCCACCAAAACCAGAAGGCCCATATCCATAATTATCATAGGATGGCACTGGCCTTCCATGCCCATGATAACATGGTCCATCAGTATGGCCCTCATAGCATTGCCCACAACGTATCCCAACCGGATACATCGGTGGGTAGCAAACCGGTACAAAAGCAGGAGGAGCCGGTGCTGGAGCTGGAACTAGTGTTGGTGTTGGAGCCGGAGCTGGAGTCTGTGTTGGAGCCGGAGCTGGAGTCGAAGCCGGAGCCGGAGCCGGAGGCTTGTCTGCAGGGGGATTTGGTTTGGGCTTGGGCTTCTCAGGGGGTTTGGGCTTTGGAGGCTCTTTGATCTCAATGCTCTTGATGGTCTTCCCACCCTTGCAACACAATTTGTCACGAACCTTCTCAGGGCTGCAGCATACTACGACGATCGTCACCGTATTTTGCTTTTCATCATAAATCTGGTCTCGTATTTCTAATTATCCCCAAAAGTTCACACATAAAAAATCAAAATTAAACAATATTATGGCGCTGTTTGGGATTCCGAGAATTAGGCTATTATAGCCTCATTTGATTTTTTAGCCCAAAAGCAACACTGTGCATGGATTTTCAAAAAAAAAAAGAAAATAGGCTGCTGCCGGACAATGTAGGCACAGCCTACACTGTCACAGCCGGACAGTGTTGCCCCAAGGGTGAAATTACCATTTTGCCCCTTTATATCAATTTTTTTTGAAAAAAAAGTTAGGGATGAATCTGTCATTTTAAATTTAAACATCATTTCAACACACTTTTTAATACAATAACTCAACTAAAAAATCATCTCATCTTCCCAAACACAAAAACTAAAATAGCCACTAAAATAGCCAAAAAGCCAAATAGCCTACTAAAATAGCCACTTCCCAAACCAGGCCTATGTATATATATATAAAATAAATTCATAGTAATGACAATAGTATCTTAAAATAAAGTAATTCAAGGTGCGAGTATCTTATCCTTTCTAAATCCTACTTTAGCGAAATTTCATTCACGAAGTTATCTTTTGTCATATGTAGGAAAGGAATTGTCTCCTCTTTGTGGACCCATTGGACGAAATTATAGAAAGTATGAAATAAAATATAAAATAAATTCATCTTTTTTTATCTTTATAGTTATAACTTAAAAATTATAAAATATATATTTTTTTAAATTATAAAGTGTATATATTACATACCTTTTAATAGTGTTTCCCTTATATATGTTGCAACATTTATGAGATCAATTGGATATTTTTATTATCACCCAACTTTAAAATGAACAAAACATATTATCGTGACCTTAAAAAGCCCAATAGGTCCAATTGAATTGTCTGCTCGAGATAATCCAATCCCCTAATTATATTTAAGGTCGTTCTCCTCTGTTCGATTATCCAGTCCACTGGAGAAATGGCAAATTCATATATATATTGAATCCGTACGTACATGAAATGTATGTGCATGTATGTATTATGTATAGGTGAAAATGTTTACTAATGAATACAAAAAGGTTTTGGGGGACTCACGAGGAAATTTGCAAAGAATTTTCTTGATCTTCTTGTAGCAGCTAGAGCACTGAAGATCAACCTTCAACACCATTGTTGTGACCTGTTCACAAGATGACAGAATACTACAATTGTTAAGGAATCAAGAAAGTACAAGAACAACCCTGTTTGGGAGACGAGAAAATTTGCTGTTGAATTAGAGAGAGACAAAGAAAGAAGTAGAATTGGGACCTGCCATGGAAGATTTGGTGAGTAGATGATGAAGAAAATAAATCGAAATCCACAAGATATGAATGTTAAAGAAAACAAATCTCAACCACAAAAACACAAAAAAGGGATAAAAATCAAATGGGTATTTTGAGATAGTGGAAGATGATCATAATTGACAAACCTTCTCAGCCATAGTGGAGAGACTTGGGAATGATCAGATCTGAACTCAGTGATGAATGAATTGTTGCGATGCATTAACAACTGTATTGAGAGAGACTGAAATAAAGAGAGAGAGGCAAAGAAAGAGAAAGAGAAGGCTGGTTGAGAGAGAGAGAGAGAGGCCTTATGTATGTTAATCGAATTGGGTTGAGAAGTCAAAACTGAGTCTGGATCCTCTGCTGCCGCCTTTCTCTGCTGACCGACATCATTTTGGGGCAAAATTTAAATAATAAAAAAAAAAAAAAATCAACAGAATCAGAAATCAAAGAAGAGAAAGAGGGGAAGAAGAGCCAAGCACATAGGAGGAGAGAGAGAGAGAGGAGAAAAACACCTCTTCAAACCCAAAACAAGAAAAAAGTTAGAAACGTGAAAAGGTGTTCTTCTTTTTGAAGCCCAAAACAAGAAAAAAGTTAGAAACCTGAATGCATCCTCTGTTCTTCTTCCTTTCATTTCTGTTGATTTGCAGAGAAACAAAAGGTACCTAGAAGCCAAAACCGGCTTATTTTGAATGAGAAAGCTAATTTTAAGACCAAGCTCCAAAAGGGTTTGTTTGGTTTAATGTAATTCATAGATCAGAACCCATAGATCAAAGTCTTGAAAACAACTTCATGCAAACCCACTTGGTTTGTTTCAAAACAAAACAAAAAAACATTTGCAGAACCCTATGAATGAAATTGAGGGATTCCAAAAACAGTTCAAAATGGAAAAGATCCACCATCTAAGTAGATCCATTGTGTTTTCGTGTTCTCTTCTCCCTGATTGTGTGAATCCCAACTCCGGCTAGTCCAAATCTGTTGCAACAGACGAACAAACAATATCGTTGGCGGAGGCAGTGGGCGGTCGAAAAGCGAGGACTGCGATGGTGGCGGAGAAGACGACAGAGGATCCGGACTAGAGATGGGTGACGCATGGTGTGTCTGTTTAATCATATGCGATTATTTTGAAAATGACTATAGCTTCTTTTTTTATATTTTTTACATTGTGAATTGGATTATCTAGTTGAGTCTCATTCTAATAATTTGATCCCTCCATTTTTAAGTCTATATATACAACAATTATAGTTATGCTATTTTATTACATTTATTTTTAAAAAATTAAAGATTTATTTTCAAAATTATTCTCAATTACAATTATCAAATTTATCTAAATTTTTTTCATAGACAATTTATTCATAGAGACTTACCTAAATAAATTGAATTAGTAAAGTGAGGCATGTGTTGAAGTTACAGGCCAACTAAGGATTCGTTTGGAATGTGTGTTGACTTTTTGGCGTTTTGACTATTTTAATTTGGGGTTAAAAATTTTTATTTGAGTTAGATTTTTTAACTTTTATAAGAGAAAAAATAAAATGATTATGGTTTGGATGTGATATTTTGTCTTATTGAGTTAAAAAGCCTATTTTATCTTTTTGTGATTAAAATAATCAAAAAATCAAAGAGTCAAAAAGCCTGACATTGTCAAACGAAGGCTAAATAGTTCAATCCATCTTTGTGGCCAAAAACTTTGCTCATTGCAAAATATAAACTTTTTTTTTTATGACACATTATGAAAAAAATATTATAAATTTTTTTATAAATTTGATTTATGAGTGATTGCATAATATATAATAAAATATTACAAATTAATTCAAAATGAAGAATCTTTATAAAAAAAATTTATATTATCCCTTTCATAATACCTAACATTATCTTTTTTTACTTGGTATTATGTTATTATTATTATGGTATCATGGGACTACTTTTACTTAAATAAGAAAAAGAGTTTTAATTTAGTACACAATGGATCCTATGAAGCGAGAACACGCGATGTAATGCCCTGCCTTTTTATTACTCGGATTTCATTATCAAATTATTATTATAGATTTAATTTTAGAGATAACATACAAAAACTCTTTATATTTACAAGAACACATGAATAAAGATTCTCTCATCCGAATATAATATGGATGCAACAAGAGTTGTATTTAAATAAATTGTCTGTAGGCTTACATCTTTTAAACTATAAGAGAAAGGGTTTAACCCTTTTATATCAATGGCATTCCGCCCACAAATAAAAGGCCTTGTGGCCAACAAGTAATGAAAATCCATGACCTTGAAACACTCCTCGACGTTCACCTGAAAAAGGATTAGCAACGTGGAATGAACATAAAGTCCAGTATGGATCTCAACATGATCCTAAACAATAACAACTTATAAATAGTTATGATCATGAATGCTTAGTCTCATACTATAATAATAATGTGACGGTTTATACCGAAATATACATATATAAGAACTTTTCTCAAAATCATTCATTTCATTCAATAATGTAAGCAATTCACTTTTCTTTCTTCTTGTTACCTTTTTCCAAAATTCATATGACAATAACAAATTCTAGAAAACAATTTCACCAAGCCCATTACGTTTTCTCTCATTTTCCGGACTTGCACCTCTGTCGCCAACCTTCGATATGTTCACAAGTATCCAATATCCTTCCTATTTTTCACAATCTCAATATAATATTTAGGTCCGTTTCCAACACATTCATTTGTATACATGCATACTTTTAGTACAAAGGAAACAATAAGCAACCAACAAGTATCTAATCAACAAATGGGGCAACTCGGCCTTCTAAAACTATAACCATCATAACCCATAACATACCCAGATACACTGAGCTAATAATGATAAATAAGTTCTGCTCTACCTGCCATAAACACGGTAAGCAGGATACAACTTTCCACAATGAAATACCAATTTACCAGACATCGGCTGGAAGGTAATGGTACATCTGCCAAGTTCTCTAGGCGCTAGCTGGAAGGTACTGATACCTCTCATTCTAAGCGCGACCAATTCTCCAAGCGCTAGCTGGAAGGTAATGGTACCTCTCATTCTCAGCGCAGTATACGTTACCAATCATCACAACATGACAAAGTACAACCAACAAGTGTAATGCATA